TTGAGTTCTCCTGGAAAATGGCGTATACCAGACCAATGTTATATGTCATTGACCAGGCGTTAGATGATAAAACACTATTTGCGATTAATTTAGATCAAATTTCACTTTTCAGGGCACCCGTTTCCGTATAAACAAAGTTATTTCGCAAAACAATGCGTTTGTTACATTTATTTTGCACTCCCAATAAAATACATATTTTTCGCAATTCAAGTCGCCGACGAATCCATTCCTATCGTCCAAGCCTGACACACGTTTGGCCGAGTGTCGGGCGGTATTTTAGTAGACGATAAATTAAACGGTTGTCACAGATGGATGGTATGTACTCGTATAACGATAATACCCAAAAATTAAGATTGTGCAATGATAATAAGGAATTTGTCCATAGATATTATTTTACAAGTCTTGCTGGCAGAAAATAAGCACGCTGACATACTTGATTACAATTGATTGTCGTTAAATTTATTTTACACCATTATTAAACGTGCCCTACGAAGTGCGGCGGCATAAATTGCAGTGGTTTCGGTCAGGGCTGTGTATTTTTGGCGCTCTCTCATCAATAATAATTCAATGTTTTTTCATATCTCCTTTTTTTTTATCTCACAATTTAGTATTAAAGTGCATAATGCGCTATTTATTTTATCATATAAGTATTTAGGGATTACATAAAATTTGAACAAAGCAAAATCTAACTTTTAAATTCTTATATTTCATTGTCCTGTTTGGTAATGAATAAAATCCAATGCCCAGGGTATTTCCAATTAAATACAAAGGTAGTATACATTCACAACGTTGCTTGTTTAAAATTGTGATACATACATATGGTGAGAGAATTTCTAGACTTGAATGACAATAAAAATAGTATAGGATTCGGTATTCTGGAATCGATTTAAGTATTCTAGAATAGTAATTATTCTATATTGTTCAACCCTAGTTCGCACCCAGTGGGGGAAAATTATGCACAAGAAGGTTGCTGGACTCCTCACCGCCGTGACCCTCGCAACCGCTGGTCGGTTACGGCTTCCTCCACCATCAAGCTCATGAATCTAGTTTTAGTACAAATAACTAACCAATCCAATACCCGAAATGGAGACTTGGTTCGTCATTTGATTAAGCAGTCTCTCCCAATCGGTCTCCCTCCTCCCAATCGGTCCTTCTAGTCAAAATGAGGTTCACTATAAACAATGTTCCATACACTTTAGAACATTGTATATACTATATTTCTCCGTGTATAATACGTACTTTCAAAGCGATATTTTAAGTCCAGAACAAAGGGGTGCGTACTACGCATTGACATAGAAAACAATGCAAAAAATATTATTCCATGCTTAACTGGTTAATAATTCTCACCCTAAGTGTTGTTATTTCATTTGTAAGAATTAGATCATGCTTGTTTCGGTAGAAGCATATCAATCCGACAAAATTTAGCTAGTAAAAGTATAGTCTCAATCAATTCATTAATTTAAGAGTCCGAAAAACAGTGAATTATTGTCGATAAGAACAGCTGTACATCCGCTAACTGCTGTCATTGTCTGGTCTGACCGTTTCTCCCGTTCCGCCGAATCGGCAAAACTTCGGGGTCATAAATCACTATAGGTCACGCAAATTATTGACCAAATGGCGGTCTCTCTTTGAAGTTTGTGTCTACAAAACACACTCAGACGTCAGGCCTTATCAGCTTTTAAAGAGATCAAAGACTAATAACAGCATGATACTTAAATATCGAATAACATCACATCGTAAATACACGAAACAACATATTAATTAGGAGAAATTCCTGGGCCCAGCTGTGCTAAAATACACATGCGTATTATCGGAACAACTCTTCCTGCAATTAAACCAATGGGACAGCACAAAAGTGCAAGTTTAGTCAAACATGATTTAATCATAAAAATACTGTTCTAGTAGACTGCATGTAAAAATAGTTCACGAAAATATATCAAACAGAACGAGTGACTGATGAAAAGGGTCGTCCATAAATGCACATAAACTGGACTATGGAAATTTGTCAGGATCAAACTTTATCAGCTTGTGATGAAGCATTCAAGTTTTATAAATATATCTTTTAAGCATAATCATGCTTAATCGAAAGGTAAAAAGAAATAATATTAGTTTGTTTATGATAACTAAAAACAATAACATTCTTTGATCTTCATCTAAAAAAAAACGCCACCCCTGATCTATACAATGCCTGGCATGCTTTAAAGCCAAGCTTTTAAATTGGGAACGTGCATCCAAATGACTGTGTATTCAAGAGGGGCATGGGATATTCAGAGTCCTTAAAAAGTGGACAACAAAACATGATTAGATGAATTTTCTTCTGTGAACAAGCATGATCGTCAATAATAATGAAATAAACTCAGACATGAAATAAAAATACAGTAAAATGGCAACAAAAGCAGCTGAAGTATGATTGAAGATAAACGCAAATAATAAAATGATAATAACACAAACATAAATGATTTCATCTTGGATCTACATGAATTTGAAACCCATTAAGATAACTCGAAACCCAGATACAAGTTGAACACAGACATGAGCATTTCATAGAGCAATTTCATTCTTGTAGTAATGACTTTGAAGTGATCAAATATTTATAATGGAGGAATTTTAATAATATTTTTTTATCACATTTTTAGTCTTGGTCAGGCAAAAAAAAATAATAACTGTTTTGTATTAAGTTCTTCAAAAGCATCGAAATCTAGATTCTGTTAGAAATTTTTAGATCTATGTCAAAAACGTTTCTGTCTGTAACAAGATAAACTATAAACGACAATACATTGAAATGTAAAACTGCAGTCTTAAATTATTGGAAGTACAGTAGTAATAAAACGTTTCAATACTGAATAAAAAGAGGACTTACAGAACTGAAATACAAGGTAGATAGCTTCATATCATAACAATTAATTGTTTTCTAATTCCACATTTCAAGTTGCTATTACCGTAACTTTGGAACTCAATAATCTTAACTAAATGTATTTATTTTGCAACATAGGTATTATTTCGCAGCAGTACAGAACAAAATTTTTTAAGGGGCATTTTCACTCAGCATTCACTCAGAAATAAAGCAAAGCTGCAGGCAACCACTGAGGCATCAAGAGCTGCTGAGACTATAAAGAATTATAGGTGGAATAGCGCAATAGCAAATACAGATTCACGCAATATTAAAGCAGTCCATGTCAAAATGATCACAAAGAAAAGCTACAAGAAGATAATTCGATACTCCTGTAGTATGTGTACCAGGTTAGGATTAGGCCATAATTTTATCCAGATTTTCCCAATTTCAGTTCTATTACAAGTTCTGTGACTGTCTGTGTTAGCCAAGTGAATACACCCCCTGCCCATAGGCTTCCATCCCTTTACACAACTTGATGTAAACTGGGCAAACAAAATTAGTACCTTCATATTGGTACACATACCTCTGGAGCGCCGATAATTCCACACAACTTAATTTCTATGGAAAAACTTCACGCATAAATTTTTTTGTCTGGTAGGTATACTGACAATAAACACGATTGTAGAGTCGAATTCATTACATTCGTTAGAATTCATGCAATGTACGTAAAATTATAAACAGTACTACTTTCAAATTTGTATCATGGTTACATGGAAACATTTTGAAAAAGAGTTTAGGATTTAGAATCTGAAGTTTTTGCTTGGGTTAAAGACTGAACCATGGACATATTTTCAGCTTCCAGCTGACTATAGTTAAAATGGGGCTCCCGAAGTAGGCGAACCAAGATGGCGTACATCGGAATGTAAGATGTGTACTAGGTTAGGGTTAGGCCATAATTTTAGGTATAAATACTACGGGAGGCTCTTGGCTAGTCTTCGAACTGATAATAGGACTAAAATAAGGAAAATTGGAAAAAAATCATCGCCTAACCCTAACCTGTTACCCATGTTACGTTCCGATGTCCGCCATCTTGGTTCGCATACTTCGGGAGCACCATTAAAATTTATAACTTCTATTAGCATATAGTCAGACCTCCAGATATTCAAAATTTCAACGTTGAAATTTTTTATTGAACAGGATAAAAAATTACTAACGTCAAATTTTTCCCCAAAAAATTGTTTTCTTGAAATCAATAATCGAACGTTTAGTCAGAATCAAAATTTAGTCGAAGAATTTTGACAGTTCAATGGAACTTTTCACCATATGACTGGAACAATGTTTTTGGGTTTTGTGAACTGTAGGTATTTATTTCATGTAGGCATATTTCAAAAGTCCTGCTGCACACTAACACAAATGTAATTATGTATTTATTGAGTTCCATCAGACGAAGCGTTGCAGAAATACATTTGTTTTAGTGTGCAGCAAAACTCTTGAATGAAATAGACTGGAGCCCGAGCCTCGAGCTGTGACATTTTGGTGGAGCTGGTGTCAAGCTTACCATGTCAGATGGAGGTGAAGCCAAAACTACCAGAAATTCTATAGTGGCTCCAGTTCCTAACCACCTGATTATTTTTCAACATTTGATTAAAAATTGTTAAAAATTCTGATTTAATTAATAAATTGTTTAGTAGGTGGGGGGGAAATTATAAATAAGTAAATTCAAAAAAAAAAAAAAAAAATATGCCTCGAATAAGGTTTATCCATTTACCTCTTATTTTTAAATAAAGTTTTGTTCAATATTCGATGATAAAATGTAGTTCAATGTGAAATGGTAACACAGATCAACATGCATGGGACATACATGGCTTCAATATTTCTTTTCATTACTAGTTCGTGTATGGGTAAAGCATAAATGATTTTGGTGCTCCCGAAGTATGCGAACCAAGATGGCGGACATCGGAACGTAACATGGGTAACAGGTTAGGGTTAGGCGATAATTTTTTTCCAATTTTCCTTATTTTAGTCCTATTATCAGTTCGAAGACTAGCCAAGAGCCTCCCGTAGTATTTATAGCTAAAATTATGGCCTAACCCTAACCTCGTACACATATTACATTCCGATGTCCGCCATCTTGGTTCGCATACTTTGGGAGCCCCATGATTTTAATAACTACAAAACTTTATAATTATGAATAGCAATGATGAAAAGCAATGCAAATATAAATAATAATTCAGGGACTAAACAACAAAATGATTCTTCTAATCATGTCAGCTCTGTATCTGGCCTTCTATGTTTTATACAATCTATGTTTTAAATTTAAATCTTATATACTCTATGAGGAATTTTATTTTCCATTTTTAGGTTCACACGCACTATGCAGCCGGATCTCAACCAATGGGCCATAATCCACTGCTGGACCAGAGAATTATTTTCAAGTGGGTCACAGCCCACAAGCCATTAAAAAATGCTAGAATTATTGATAAATTATTCAAATTTACCTGTAGTAGCATTAAATAATGATGCTGTTTTTTTCTTTTACGTGAGTGGTAATTTTAATTATTAAAGTGGATATGTCCATTTTCGCAGAAGATATTTTTTTCTTGTAGAGTTACCTTGTTTAAAAAAGTTTATGGACCACAAAATTTTTGTGCAACGAATGATAGCCATGACAGGAAAAAGGTAGAGAAATACTGCTCTAGGAAACCCGTAAACAAATCTCTGCATTTTAACTATATATATATGTTTGTATAAATACAAATTACTATAAAAAAATTGAATTCTCGCGGTGCTTAGAACTCTAAATATCTGAAGTTGAAATTAATCTGGGCCCAACCCATTCTATGTTAAGTACGGACCTTGTGTAATCTGTGATAAAACATCTATGATGTGAAAATAAACTCAGCCAGGAGCAACTCTCTTAGGCATATATTCTGCATGCAGCCTGTCTCTATTCTATTCAATGTCCACACTGGACTACATTGCTGTGTCTTCCGCAGTCCTTATATCTTGGTTGTTCCATCATTCGTGTTAATTCACTGGCATCAATTTACGGAACTACTGTTACCAGCCACCTGAGAACAAAGTTAGCTGTATAAATATTAAAAAAATAAGAGGGCTGTTTTAAAACAGATTTATATAGACATAAAGATCGCACACTGGCAGCAGTAAGGTCTCAGCTGAGCACAGAGTTTGTTAAATAGATTAACAGGTATGTGTGATGGAATAAAGTGTCCTCGTAATATGTCGTAAAAAGTTTTTATAAATTAAAATAAAAGAGAATTTGGGGTAAAATATCTAGTCTACTAAGATTCGAAAAAATTTGACGGAAAAAAAATAAGTCTGTTAAAGACTTCCATCGTTAATTACCGGTACTTAAAAATTTGAACCTGATTGGTCCATTAGTTGTGTAGAAAACCGATTTTTTACAAACAAGAAAATTAGGTAAGACAATCCATAGGTCTAGTTTACTTCGTGATCAACAAGAGAGCAGAGAACAAATGATATGGCCGCTAAATTACTTGACAAATATGAAAATATGCAATACTTGGGAGTTTATCCTCCCAAACGAATATCTGGAATATTTTATGTGAAATAATTCGCAAAATAACTTTTGTTTCTGGGTGGAAAAATTACTTAATTTTACAGTCGAGTTCTAAATGATAAACAATTTTGCTATTCAATGAATATCCAACCCTATCATGATAAACTTACTATATTTGATATTTATCACTATCAACAATTTCACATTATTTAATTGGTTTCAATTTCACTAGCGAGAGTGATTGCAGTTCAGACTAAATACACAATCAAAGTAAAGAGGCAAGAGTATATGCTTCTCGATAATCAGGGACAGAAGGGCTAATAAATATAAGCCAATAAATAAAGAAAGAATGTACAATTTCACCAATTCAAAAGCCATATGCACTTCATTTTTCATATTGAAATTTATGTACATCATTGATGAAAACAAGACTTTACTTTGTTAGGATGCAAGTTCTTGAATAACAAGGGTATGGATCCCTTGCCAAAATTGTTAAGTTGAATAATTTAAACAGCGTACCAATTTTTTGATGAATTCGTCTGGTTCTCCGAAATTAGGTCGAGGATTATATGGATCGTAACCCAGTTTCGATAACATTGGTGCAATCTTGGCCATATCTCTCTCAACATCTTCTGGAATGTGTCCGAACCAACTAGTCAATGCATCCAAATATAAAGGACGTTGAACTTGGTCCGTTGACTTTTCCAATCTTGCAGAAAAAAAAAGATTTAATAACAAACCCGTTAGTAGCTTTAGAAAGTAACCTAAATTTGCATGAAAGTCTCTATTGAAAATGTTAAAATTATGAAAATACTTTTAGTAAATCTAATTTAATGAGAAAATGAGCCACTTTGAATAGATTGCTTCTTTGGTGGTTTTTCACAAGAAGGTATATATGGACAATCAGGTTACGCATGTCAAATTCCAGTCATTATAGTGCCAAAGACATTATATAGGCCATAAATACTAAGGAAGTGAGAGTGGAAGAAGAGGAAGTGTCGTGTCAATGAATAGTTCTGTGAATGTACTATGGCAAGCCATTCTATTCTGTACTGACAAACATAAGCTGATTGTCTATAGCATGGTTTATCTATATTCGTCCCTAAAATCTCTCCTTCCAATTTCCCCAATGGAATGTATTGTGAATGTGGATGACATCACTTGCCAATTCAAATGGTATCGGTTTATTAGACCTAAACAATGTTGGTTTGTATACGAACTATTAGAATAAAAATTTTAACGAGAGGGTAGAAGCTTTGCCTTTCTTGGAGGAAGGAAACCATTAAGGAAATAGCCAGTTGCATTCATGAAATTGATAATAGAAAACTACTATGGGAGTTATATAGCATGAAAGGACAAAATATTTTTTTTCAATATAGGGCAGTGGTTCCCAACCTTTTATGGCTCTTGTACCCCTATTGGAGCCTTTTAAAACTCATGGATATCCCTGTTTATCATTCCAGTGGTATTTATTAAAGTGTTATTTTGAAAGGTAGATTCCAAATCCCATTATGTTCAAACAATTCATGCTCAACAAAATTTGAAAACACCCAGTGAAATAACCTCATCAGGTGATGGAACTAGGAAGGATTTTTTTTAAATAAAAATGAAATCAATTTTGCGCCTAGCCTTGTGGCCCCTTCAACTTCTCTGTAGCCCCTTTGGGGGGCTGTGTCTCCCCGGTTGGGAACTGCTGATATAGGGTGTTTCATAATCATTTGCCTCAGGGTGAGCCTAGGGGAAGGAAGGTCATTGGGGCAGCCGATCCGAGCTGTAGAGTTTGCGTTATTACACATGCTTTATTGCAAGTTTTCATGAATTAATTTATTTAATTACGCCACGTTTATTAATAACAAAATCGGCCATTGCATGTAAAGGAATAAACGCGTTAAGGCCAAATATTTAAACAAATTATAGTTAATTAAATTAATATAGACATCACAAATGGTTGAAAATTTTTGCATGTGGACCCAGACAACCGCTTTCATATTATGTGATTTGTTGAATATTTACACTTGTACAGATCATTATGATCTGACACGATCACTCCACCCACCAAGGATGGCCGAAACCGTATAATTTTGTATTTCGATTACATTATACATGTATACTAAAAAGGCTATTGAATATATTTTGAAATGGTTTGTTCCACAAGAGAAATTGAAGCAAGACAATTGTAAATTCATAGAAATATATTAGGAGATGCAGAATATTTTAATAATTGAGATAAACATTGTCTCAATTAGTATTCTTTATTTTATTCCGTCAGACGTCTACTAATTTTTATCTATCTTAAAATAATAAACGCCATTTTCAAACGAAAATATTATAGATTCTTCTGGAAAACACGAAGAATTCATAAAATTCAATATAATCGATTTAGAAATTAGAATATATTCGAAATTCGATTTGGACAATCCTTCCTGACACATCCTAATACCATGTCTATTGGGACCATTAAGCAAAGTAATAGAGTTTAGTTTCAGATCATTTAGCTTGAGATCGTTGGGATAATTGTCAATACTCAATGTTGTTCAATACATGATATGTCACTGTAAAATTGAATAATCAAAATCTCTAGGGTCCATTAAGCAATTGATCTAGGTAGAATTTGTCCCAAGAGACTGTTCTAAGCAGAAAATATTGACATTTTCCCTGTTCAGGAATTAGCGAATTATCTTTGAAATATACCGACAAATCCACTTGAATTCAAACAAAATACCATAGATATTTTAGTACTTTCGAAGTAAGTGAACCAAGATGGCGAACACTGGAACGTAGTGAGTGTACCAGGTTAGGGTTAGGCCATAATTTTATTCCAATTATCCTTATTTAGTTCTATTACGAGTTCGGGGACTAGCCAAGTGACTCTCGTAGTATTTGTACCTGAAATTATGGCCCAACCCTAACCTGGTACACATACTATGTTCCGGTGTCCGCCATCTTGGTTCACACACCTACTTCAGGAGTTTTATTACTTACATACTTCTGGACTCTGTGGAGTACCGGTAATTCTACGATATTTTATAAAAAGTTAATACAAATGGACATATAAAAAAAGAAATCATTACACCCACTTTGAAAGTTGTATGTCACTCATATGTTTCTCGTGATGCATTACATTTTCTGACCATGGAATATTCAAAAACTTGAAAATGCGCTTTGTTTCTGAAAGAGGCTGAAGAACTAACTTTTCATAATGAACGGGAAGACAATACTTAGTTCCGACTTGCTGACATTGCCCATTTATAAGTTCCATTGCTTTGTTCCATTTTGTCAATACATCCCTGAGTTACAAGAAAAAATGTAACCATTTAAATACAAGGCACTGATGAAGAAATATGTATAGTATTCAACTGCCTTGATATCCAAACTTTTTTCCATGAAACTGATTTTTAAAAAATAATTGCATGCCAAATTATATATTGCAAAATTTAACTTCATTTGACTATTATTTTGTTCTATAAGTCAATATTCAGAAATTGAAAATTATTTAGCTAATTCCAATTCTTGATGATTTTTTTAAAACGCTGCCAAAAATTTTCCATTATCATTGATCAACTTAATTGCAAATATATATTCTAGAATTGGAACTTCACCATTGCAGGAATGGCCAAAACCCAATATATCACTACTTCAAATACATTCAGAAAAAAAATCTTTGAATACATTTTAAATTGGGGGCAAGTTGATGTGGAAAATTACTTAAATCACTATTTCTTCATGTTGATCATAAGTAAAACGACATAAATATCAAGGTTATCGTCATTGGTTTCTCTGTGTTGTTTGTTACGTGTTGTGATATTTATGTTTTGATCTGCTTGCCTGACGACTTGAAATTCTTAATTTTTTAATAAAAATGTTCTTCGATTATCAGACTGAAAGTCAGACTTCCCAAATTTAATTCCAAATTTATATTCAAAATATTTTTTATATTGAATATAATGAAATTTGAATATTCTATCAGTTTTGGACATCTCTTGGGAGAATATGCAGTCAGTTGAGTTTTATAATGACATTTTTTTTTATAAAGTTCTATATTTTTGTGAACAAAACTTGAAGGCAAGCTAATTTCTGAACCTTTATAAGCAGACTGCCTAAAATGAAAATGATTTTTTAAATGAAATTGACTTGAATAAAGTTCATCAAACATTCTATTTCCACGGCACATCTCAAATTTTGTGTGACTCACCAAATCACCAATACTATTTCAAATTTCTATACCGGAATTTATTTATGTAATATATTCGAAATGAAAAATTTGAGTTTTTTTTGGAAACAACTGGCGCATTGAATAGTCTTATTATATTGATCCGCCAATTTTGAAGATCCATTATTATAAGGAAATTTTAATTCTGGTAATTTTTAGGACATTGTGAAGAAGAACAATTGCAACCTAATAATAATATAATACGCTGAATATAAAATATTTCAAGAACACTCACCGGTAATATAATATTAAATACTGAATAAATTATAAATCAGCATGGATACAAAAAATTTCCGCAAAAATGTATCATTGATGAAACAAATAATGCCTCGATTGTCATTTGTCACTTTACCACTATTCGAGTAAAAAATATTTTAGAAATGCCTGATGCTAATTTTGATAATAAAGACACATTTTAACAAATATATTCAGAGATATATTGTATATTTATGTAACACTATCAAAATGAAGTTCTCATTCCTTGAGATATCATTCCTTTCATAACACTTGTTAAAAGGTATATTTAGCTTGTTCATGTCAAAAAGTTTATTAAGATAAGACGAGCGTTACAATACAACATAACAGATTCTTATCAGGAGGAAAGGTTAAATCCATTAGGCTATATTTATCAGCAAGAATATATTGTTTGTGTATTTATTTTTCGTATTTATATGCTTTGCACCTTAATAAACAAGGTTCAGCACGAGCAGCCATTGGTGAAGGAGGGAAAAGATTCTGAAGTGACCGGAATCCTTTTTTCATCCACTGATTCACATATTTATCACGGGGAAAGAACAGCCGATAAATATGATGGTTTAATCATATTGCGAACCACGGCCTCTCGTCCTGTTACCAGTTTAGTTGGGTATCGGATTAGCTAGCCAGTTATTTGCTTTTAGAAGCATGGGTGGTACGAGAAACTAATAGCCTATAGTTTAAAAAAATCAAAATCTTTCTCGTTCAGCATCACCTACACCCTGGGTGAGGTGGGGCACGGGATTTTAACCCGAGATAATAACCTGTGATGCAGAAGTATTGATATTTTATAAAAAAAATTCTATTCTGAAGAATTAAAAAATAATCCTCTCTCACCTGTAACTTGTAATGTCGAAACCAGCTATCGTTACTTTTCTACTAATAATTGAATGCGCAGTAGCTCGTCCATCTCGTAACATTAATAGAAATTTGGCATTTGGAAAGAGTTCATGCAGATATCTGAAAACATAAAAAATTGTTCGATATGAAAATATTTTCACCAAAGGTCAGTACACAAACGCGGTCCGTTCATTCCAAATAAAGAAATAATTCAAAATATATTCGAAACTTATTTCAAAAGTCAAATGCATCGTTTGGCAAAATACAAGAGCACATCTCAATATCAGGAAATGGTAACGTTGTGACAACTTAGTGGTTTAGCTGCGCGTCGACTTTGTTGAAAATATGTGAAATATTCGGCCGCATAGCCGCAGTAAGAAACTTGAAAAAAATAATATTCATACATATATATAAATTACCATATATATATATTCTTGAATCATCTTTAAAACTGAAAATTTGGAATATTTTAGCTGCGCAGAAAGGCGATTTTTTTCAAACTTTTTGTTCTAGGTAGTAAGAGTATACTGTAGAACTGTTGGAGCTTTTGTTAAATGGAGTTATTTGATCTACTTATATATATAATTAAATTCCAAAAATACAATTTAAAACTTAAAAATAGCACGAAAAGCCACAAAACAAATTGTTTACCACCATGCCGAAAATATGTGGAAAAATGTCTCTAAGTCGCTGCTAAATTTCAGTTTTTACGCCACCATCGCCAGCTTGCTGACATACCATAACATAGGCTGATAACTACGACATAAGCTGATGCACAAAGAGACATAATTGTTATGATGTCACAAATTGTTTTTAGTGATTTAGCGAAAAATGCGTTGTTACATCACAACTATCGAATAAAAAATATGCTTTTCAAATCAAAAAGCAGCCGTGGTCCTAATTTAATACCCAAAAGGTCCGGATTCGGACCGATGTCCGCCAGTTGAGTAGCCCTGTCCTAATTTACTGAAACTTTTGTGTACAATCATACACAAACAGAAGTTCAAGTGCTGAATATATTTCCCTCATTTTCATAGAATTGAGAAATTTATGGATTCTGCTTGGGTCACCCTTGTAGTTTTAGATTTGTTAGATTTGTAGTTTTATTAATTATTTAATTTCGACCATCCCTAAAGCACAGTTTCATTTCCTCATCAAAAATGGTTTTTTAGCTCAAACATTTGTCACTTATGCTAAAACAAAAAATTTTCATTCAACCTAATTTTTATTTTATTAAAGAGTATATCAGAGTATATCAGGTCTGTCTGACATCCCTTTTTTCAGGCAAAAAAGTAAAATATTTAAAGCTATGCTCAAAATGTTACATATACCAATAACACAAAAATTGTAAAATTAAAAATGACTATTTCATGAATACAGAAAAAAAGTCGTAGGGATGTATGATTTCACCATTTATCAAAGAAAATTCAAAAATTCCAAGTCTATGCAATTTACTAAATAAAAATCATAATTGTAATTTGTAATGAATTTTTTTAATTGTGCAAAAATGTTTCAGCATCCATAGTCATCAACAGTGTATCCCAAATCAGTAACAGGCTGTCGGAGTTGTTTTCGAGGATTATATTTCACTGAGTCATGCAGTCAACTAACAATGGCAAATATGAGCAATGGCAAGCGTGATCTTACAATCTCTAAACATTCATTTGAACTTTCCCTGCTCTTTACAATAAAAATAAATATGAACATTTATAAAGCCAATAAATAAGAAATGTAGCAAAAACAAAAGCAAAGAATGTGCGTCACAGAATCAAATATCAAACCACAATTATTAGGTCTGTATTGCTGCATAACTATGTTTGATTGACTAATAAAAGGCAATAAAAAGAGACAGAAAAGGTGTCCTTTCTAGTAACTCTTTAGTGATATAATTCACCAGATCAAAATTTTTTTTGTAAAATAATGCTTGTTCTTTTTTTGCTCTGAACAAGTTCCTATAACAGCAGTCAATGATATATAACACTGTAATCTGCAATGCCACCAGATGCCAGGCCATCGTTGGACAGTATACCAGTGCAACGGTATCAAAAAAGACTTCAAATCTCAAACCATTGTTTTTCTAATTAATTTTACCTAATAACCGTGAGAAACCTTAGTCTTTTCATAACATAATCATCATTTGTATCAAAATGTAAATGGTAAATAGAATTTGTTGTAATATTTCATTGTAATAACTGTGAAGAGAAATCCATAAAATAAAAGAAGTTTTCCATGACCACAGAGCCCTATGCAGTTTGGTGATTTGAATCTTACTTTACAACAACTTACAGACAGTCTGCCATGATAAGAAGTGTTTACTGTCTCAGCTGTATCTGGATTTCATCAAAATATAACAGTATTTTCTCCATAGGATGGAAATCGTATACTGACACAAAGTGGAAAAATTCAGACCAGTTTTAATTAAGACAGTAAATTGAAAATTTTAATCTCATTCTTAAACTGTCATTCTGAGCAAGTATTTTGGTCTCTAAGTTTTATTTCCAAGAACCCACATTATGTATAGTTCACTTCATTGCTGTTTCCTGCTCATATTGACATGAATTGCTTTAATTCTCACATTGATCGGTATTTACCAATGAACAATTCAACACTATAATTTTTAATATTAGTCCCTGTAGCTCCCAGTATTTTAGCAGTCACCCATAACTATACACAGATATTCATCCCTTTAATACTTCCTAATTGAGTTTGTGTGATCTTACTTTCCGCAAACCTAACCAGGGAAGATGTATCTTTCCCTATAACTGTCCCAGCTAAACATTGATGTTACATTTAAAATTTGCTCTCTCCACATACTATCGCGGCATAGGCAATTGGAATGGAACGTAAACGTCCTTACCAATGACAGTACAATGAGTGAACGATGGTTACCAGTGTCCTTTGTTACAGATGAATTTGCTTGTTTTAAACAAGGGTTTAAACGGAACTCCCGGTTAACAGAAAGGTACCTGTTTAATTCACAATACTAACCGAAGAAGCGCTTTTTCGAGTATCTACGCTGTTTGAAAAGAATGAGCAGAAACCAGGACACCTAACTTGCTAAAATCGGCAAAAGCACTTTCACACTTTTTTTTTCAACTGCGAAGCACTTTCGCACTCCTAATTTCCTTAAGAGTTAACACTGGTTACCACATATGGGAGTCTATTCTTGGAAAAAACTCAATCAATTTTAGAACTTTTTATTCGCTTATAAGTTATTTTAAAATGGGTTTGTATTGATTTCTTCAAAATTTCACATAGAATACAAGAAACGCTGAACACATATCTGGAATATCAAAACTTCAAAACCACTAAAAAATAGAACCATACTATGAAAGTTGTACCACCACACAAACCAGAAAACTCAACCCCAGGAAATACCCTCCCCCCATTTTCACAAAACCAAAATATTAACAAAAATGGGGGCTCTCGAAGTATGCGAACCAAGATGGCGGACATCGGAATGTAATATGTGTACTAGGTTAGGGTTAGGCCATAATTTTAGGTATAAATTCTACGGGAGGCTCTTGGCTAGTCTTTGAACTGATAATAGGACTAAAATAGGGAAAATTGGAAAAAAATTATCGCCTAACCCTAACCTGTTACCCATGTTATGTTTCGATGTCCGCCATCTTGGTTCGCATACTTCGGGAGCACACAAAAATGTATGTGATTTTTCTTTAGTTGTGAGGTGTGTGTAACCAATTAGAAAATAATAATTAGAAGCAAAAGTTACAGTGTTGTTGGTTTAGTTATTCAGTATATCTTGAAATACGTTGTATCGGATTTCAGATCTTCAAAATAAGGTTATTGTATACCTCATCTTAAAAACCTAGAAAATGCAAACTTGACATCTTAAGGATGATGAATGGAATAATTCTTACAAAATTGGAAATAAAACTACCATTTGTGTAACAATTTTATTTATCACCAATGTGATGAATGGCTGGTTTTATAAAAAATACTTTTATCAAATAAATCATCTCAAAAACAAATTTATGCGACATGCTAATCAATAGATGAAATTGAGATTATCATATTCTAGACTGATATCCCCCAAAACCTAATCTCTATCAGAAAAATCGAAGCTTTAATTAACTTAATTATTGATTAAATAAGAAGGATTATCGTGATCTAACATATGTTGAATTTATATCCTATTTATTGGAATCTCAATATCTGATTAAAAGATACTCAATATTGTTGTAGTCATTGTAGCGTTTCATGTATCATAATCAATGCACGACTCAAACTCAGAATCACAGACTACAAAAAGTAAGGCAGAGCAAGCCAGAAGGTTCGATCAAAATCTGCTTGGATGACGATTGCAAGTGATATGGCTGAGTGACCATATAGTGGTTTTGTTCAACGACGATTGTGCGTAGATTCGAAGAGAATGTATCTGACCGTGTCCGTGTGTCAAGTATTCACAAGATATTTCACTATTGCATTTTTGAGACACACCGTTATGTGCTCGGGAAATCTTGCATTTTACGAAGTCAAGCGAATAGCCCCCTAGTCTCTGAGCAAAGTTACAGGCGATCACTGGAACTCTCGCTGAATTTACAGAATTATGGAAATGGAAGTACATTATGTGATAGTAAAAACAGATTGGCACAAGACTTGAAATAGCTGTCAAAGCGATCAAGATTAAAGTCCCTCTCACATTATTTTGTAAAAGTCAACAGCACCATCCAATAATCAATCAATCAATCAATTAATTAAAGATTTTTTCAAATGATAAGAGCAAATACCAAGAGAGGAATTCTTAGTTAGACTACTGCGTTATTGGCAAATTTTATTTGACCTGAATGATATTGTTTAATTTGAAAAAAAAAAGAAAACACACATAACTGATAAATAAAAGTTCATTTAGTTGTTACAAATATCTGATTAACAATCCCTATCAATGGCGTCGTATAAATGAGTAAGCCATCTTTTTGGCTTTGTGCTCTTTCCAGGAAATATGTGAAATGCCTAACCATCTAAGGAGGTCCTATGTCAAGCTATATAAGATAAGCAGTGGATCGAATTCTACTTTTTCTAATATTATTTGAAAAGTTTCACAAGAGCATGAATAATATATAAAAAATCCATTACTTGAAGACAGTAACTCAAAATTTAGATTCAAAATATAAACGAGAGATATCTGATTAGATATCAAATCTTACGTGTTGCTTGATAACCAGCACTGGTCACAACTTTCCTTACCTAGTAAGTAAAACTATGCAATTATCAAGTTTCTTTTTGCTGGGAAAACTAAGTGTAGCTTGATATTTTTGAATATCGAATAGGCCTATTTTCTTATTGTGTCATATTTAACGAAAAAATTGACAAAATCGTAAATTTGAAGAAATTGTATTTGGTAATGAAGAATAATAATAATGTAAATGAAATTTTCTATTTTTACAGAGCCAAAATTTAATTTACCTGATATTCATTATCAATGACGCTATGTCTAAAATATATTCGAAAGCAAAATGATCGAATACCAAACATTGAAGTTGAAATTATTTAAAAAAAAAATTTTTTTTCAATATTCATCAAAATAAATATGAATGGACACAAAAGCATGGCTTTAAATGATAACAAATTCAAGTTTTCTTTCAATATTCATTAAAATAAATATGGATGGGCATAAAAGCTTAATTAAATTATTGATACTTTTATTAACAAATAAAAAAATCTCACGTTGTGGCTTTCAAGGTAAAAGGATCCTTGTTACAATAATGTTTGGCAGGCTCTCCATGATTTAATATTATTTCCAGAATAAATTGACTGACCGCCTCATCTAATACACCAGGCAATACACCTGCCTCTTCCAGCCTTTTTTTCTCTTTGGAAGACCTAGAAAATTCAAATTTTCATTTATTTGCCATTATTGATACATAACTGCAAAGCATGAAATTTATAGCAGGCCTTCTTAAATAAGGGTTAACACTTTTTCCCGCAAAAAAATCCTGTAACCCCTGATATAGGAATCTACACTTCTTTTTTAGTTAGATTTATATTCTGAATATCCTATACAAATTAAGCTTAAACTCTTTCTTAAACTTAGCCTACGAAACCGTCCCAATACCAGTATGGGTGTCAGTCATGTCACTGATAAAATTTGTATATTTAAAACAGTTTAGTAGCTTTGAATATTACATAAATTCGTTGAATCAATAAAAAAATCGTCAAAAACTTCATTATTCCAAAAAATGCTTATTTGGTATAAAAATATTATTAGCACAATATCATTTATATACAAAGCTATCAGATACTTTCAATTAATTCCCACTATTTACGAGATTACTTTAAATAAAAATAAAATAGGATTCAGCGTTCTGGATTCGATTTACTTTAGGGTAGCAAATTATTATGAATTGTCCATCCCTATCAGTAACGTCAGATTAATAGATCCAAAGTATCTTGAAATGGAAGCTTTCCTGAACATAAAGTTGCGGACTTGTACAGTCATACTCACATTAAATCAATACCTATAACATACCTTATCCAGTTATTCCTCATAAACAAAAGTCTTGGTATAACCCTGGTTTCTTGTCCACATCTAATATCGTCATGAGCGTCAAGCATCGTTCGCATTAAAGTTGTTCCACTGCGAGGCATTCCTCCAATGAAAATAACAGGGAGTTCTCGACTGTTGGCATGAGAAGTCTAAATATTGCATACACAGTATAATAGTCTAAAATGGCTGAAATTCTCAAAGTTTAAAAAAACATATATTAGATTATTTAAATCACGGCCCTTCAAACTGCGTAAAATTTTTTTCAACACAACCTTATATTGAAAAAAAATATCGATCAAATTTGGAACTAGTACTGAGACCCACCATTACCAAAATAGAGTCAAAATTCGATATTTTGTGCAAATATGCCGACACATCGGCATCATTAAAGGTATTGTCCATTTTATTATTTTTTTAGTATTTTCTACAACCCTACTTACCGTAATTTCCTTCTAGTTCCTAGGGGGCATAAACAAATTTGGCCACAAACCAATTTACATTAATTAGATGAGGAAGAATTTACACGAAGAAAAATCATTTTAGTATAAGGATAAGATATCATTTTTATCCTGGGGTGGAGGAAAGTTGATAAGACGACTTGATCATATGGCGAAACATGGCCAAATGGGTACCAAATTAGTTAGCCAGTTATTTGCTGCATGGACGTGATTGTGGAGAAAGTCATACCTGATCAGCTGTTACTTGAGGAGTCCAGCAATCCTCTCTCACATAATTATTCCTACAGGATTCAAACCCATGCAGGGTAATCAAGTCAACTTATTTTAATTTCAAATCAATCTAATATACTTTGTTTACAATACAAAAATCGACCAATTCATTCTATAAGTGATCGATCCTCAAAAAGTTAATATATAATTTATCTCTTTGTACAGATTTGGCAAAAAACAGAAAAAATACAAACCTTTTGATCTGGATTATAATGATATTCTTGAGCATTTTTAACCATCATAATATCTCTATTGATAAATGATGAGGATGAATCAGTATCTTTCGGATGTCCAGATGTATACAAATATGTCAGATAAATTGTGAAAATCCATAAGGCTAGGAACCATATTTTCCTCACTCCCGAAAAACCTGTTGTCCGCAGACCCATTGATATTAATCTTTATTATATACTATTTTTATCTACTTCTATTTGATTTTTTATCTAAATGCAGAAATTATATTATCATACTAATTACAGAATTAAAATCATCATGATGTCATGTTTGAAAATAGATTACATGGTTAGGAAGTCTATACTCAAAGTGACATCTACATACTGCAGTACTTGCTGCGTATCACAGTTTTTTTTTTAAAACACAGAGCGGGAAGCTACAAACTGCACATATGAAGGCTACGAACTGCACATATGAAAGCTCAAACTGCACATATGAAGGCTACGAACTGCACATGTGAAGATTTAAAAGGACAACGGAATATATCAAATAGTCCTGGGTACAAGAGACACAGTTAAATGCTCAGAAACACCAGGAAACAGATGGATCTCCTCTAACAGGGAATCAGATTTGCCATAGTTTGTCGAAAAAAATCTAGTTAAAAAAACAATCTAATAATTGAACTTTCACAAATGGGATTTATTTGTTATTATTATTTTTCGGTTCTTCTTCGCTTATTTGTCACCTTCTCACAATGATAGAAATTTCTTTTTCCAAGTACAGATAGTGTTCTCACAATGATAGAAATTTCTTTTTCCAAGTACAGATAGTGTTGAATCATGCATATTTTCTGTTCCAATGAACACATTGTGTCACCAAGAAAAAAAATACTGCTCTTTTTCATGCTCCACGAAAATTATTCATTCATTCCCTGTAAATATTCATCAATCTTTTCATGGTTATGCTTTTCGTTACACTCAGCTTAATTAAGTAGCCTGATTAGTTTCCACAACTTTTTCACTTTTGTGAAAGAATTTTTTTTCCCCCACTGTGTGATTAGTATTTGTTTTGATGCTTTCATTAGGTTTGTTGTCATGACTGCCATACTCGCTTCTTTTACTGTGTTTTCCGTTACAATCTGACTATAGTACTATGTTCTTTTCACTTTTTCACAATTCACTTTCCATATTCTTCACCAGCAGACCAGCAAATTGATTACTTTTGATACACCCATTTCGAGTCGCAGTTCTTACCACTTAATGGCAGCTCCTGCCACGAACAACCGCAGCGTCTCTTGCCATGATTTATGGCGCTATTACTGCAGTACTGGTATATACACAAAGTTTTGTACCAGATTTGTACCAAATTTCAGGCACTTGGTAAAAACCTATTTTACAATGTTTTTGTTTAAAGTAGAAAAATCAAAGATAGAAATTTTTTATGATTGTATGGAGACTTGTCAAATTTCGCAAGTGCCTGATTTTTCATTTTTCTCGATGTCAGTTGCCATATAAAACAACATATAAGAGGGAAAAAAAAAAAATTATTATTGAAAATGATCTTGCCGGAAAATATGGCAAGTCCTATTGCCAAATCCGAAAAATCAGGCACTTGCTAATTTTGCCACAGACCAATCAGTGACAATTCTTTTTGTTTTTGACAATAAAAATACCAAATCAGTCATACAAAATGTATAGAGTTGATTTTGTTATTTGAAAGTATTCCAAAACACTGAAAAAAAACTATTTTATGAAGTTCCCTGAAATTTCACAAGTGCCTGATTTTTTTTATTTTGCGCCAAGCGTTACCATATTTTATCATCCATAATCTAATTTTAAATCAATCTGAAAAGTACGATGATTGACCATAATACAGTAACATGTTGCCAAATGGTATTGCTCAATGCATTATTCATGTTATTAAAACTGCTCAAATAAGCATGGACTTGATGGTGGAGGAAGTCGTGACCGACCAGCCTGCCAGCGGTTACGTGAACCACCCTATGGTGACCAGGAGTCCAGCAAAATTCTCGCACATACAGACATAACTATCCCCGCATGGGATTCAAACCTGCAAACCCACGCAGAGTAATATGAGGTGCGGTAGCAAGCGTATTCCTAGCTCTTAGCACAATGAGCCACACCGACACCACCGCCGGTGGTCCTTACAGCAGTACCTGTACGGTATATCATTAACTAAGACTCCTGCTCATGTTCATTGTGTTTAATAAAACTGTAAAGGAGTTGACAAATGCATCACAGCTGTACTGATTCATGCCAAAAAAAAAAAAAATTTCGTCCAGTTTTGAAAAAAACTAAAAAAAAAAAATTGTTAACAGAAACATTACTCTGTTATCGGTTCTACATTACAAGTCTTATTAATTACCTGTCAGCCTGATGTGGACGTCTAATTTGGACGTCTGCCAATGACATTGATTCCACTTAGCCTAGTCCTTCCCCCATTCAGGGATTTCGGGTCTTACTACTCACTGAATAGAGTGCGAAACAGCGCAGAAGAGATGGAAACATTTTTCTTTCCCTATTTATCAGCGTCCGTGAAATTTTAAACAATTTGATGGGAAACAGTATACAGTGGTAGGAAATGATCACGAGTTTATAGGCTATCAGTAATCTTCAACATCTTTAAATAATCCAACATTACGCACCCTAACGTGGTACACATACTGTGTTCATGTTGTGCGCCATCTTGGTGCACATACTTCTGGAGCTCCAAAATTTCTTTGATTTTGCTTATTGGTGTGCTCATATTCAGATTCAGATATTTATTTTGTCTTGCATGAAATATTGTACACACAAAATTAAACAAACATAATAATAATACTGTAATAAGAAAAATGTTTCCCTCTCTTCTGCGCTGTTTCGCGCTCTATTCAGTAAGTAGTAAGACCGAGGCATTTCTCACAGGACGTCAGACTTCGATCATAACCGGTACCAAACCATTCTGTCATTTAACATCCGGCTTCTGGAAATTCAAATTTCGAATCACTATCAATAAAAACAGCCATCCTTAGGATTACCGTACCATATTTTGGTGGCTTCAGAGCGGGACGCCTCCAAAGACTAAGACCCGTTAGCTGTGATTTTTTCTACTTCACATTTTCCGATTTTACCACATACCTAGGCCTACATTTAAAGTCATCCCTGTTGTCTTCATTAACCATATTATTCAGTAAACGATAGTTCATGCGCATATTCTCTGTCTAAATATCGGTTTCATTTCAGTTTGAAAATAGCAAGGAATTGACGTTAGCGATACAAAATAATTTGAATTCAGATTTTTTATGTAGGCTACAGCAAAAAGAAGAAAGAATAACAAAATTGCCTGCCGCTTTCAAGCAATGAGAATTTATTTATTCGCCCAATCATACTTTTCTGTGGATAACACCTTCTTTAAAAACACGTTGTTCAATGTTACATTCTCGCGTAGGACTTTCACCACGTTCTACTGACCAAACAAAACCACCTTCAGTAAGTCAGTAAGTACGGTACCGGTACCAGTATACGGTACCTAGGCTTCCCGCACGCTACACAGCAACAACAGTAACGAGAACAATAACATGCTAGTTGGTAATGTTCGTGTATTATGCCGGCTTAACGCCAAAGCGGGACTTTTGGCTGACCGGTCGGGACGCCGGGACAAGACGTGAAAAAGTGGGACTGACCCGCCTAAAACGGAACGTACCGGTACCAGTATGGTAAGCCTAGTGCCTCCGTCTTCTCTGTTTATAATCGGTGTATACCAGTGCCAGTAGGCCTATACACACAGATACAGATCTCCCCATCCTGTACTGTACTGTAACTATTGATACCTTATGTAGTCATCAATGCTGTAACTACAGAACTACGGTATAATTTTATTCTGTCAGTCTGTGGGCTGGCTGACCGTTCAGCCGAGTACCGTACCGGAAGTTTTTGGGAATAAATCTGGCAACTACTTTTCAACTAGGTTTCCATTGTTTTGTCGTCAAACTAGGTTTTGTCTTCTATGTGCCAGTTGATTAAATCGTTTTCGCGCAACGTTGTTCACAGTTCCGACAACGAAAGAGATTTGCTAGGGTAACTTTGGTATGCACTGATGTACTGGTACGGTACCGCTACTTCTTTAATGCTGATTATTGAGTTGAAATGAAGGAAACATACTTCCGCATTTACCCCCTGTACCTAAACTACATGCCCCTGCGTCCAGTACCCATGTCTAATTCACAACGATAACATAAAGTGAAGTCCCTTATTTACGAAGAAAAAAATTTAGAAACACCTGAACTCGAGATCGGCCTGCTCATCCGCGCTCCCTACCATTACTGAATATTCGTTGTTAGGATTTACATAGGATAGGATTTGTTAATTTTGTTTCATGCTTGAAGCTGTGTTGTTCCTATTGTCGTACTGTTTAATTATACTGAGCTCGGTTCTGTTATGATGATCAGCAATCTACTAAATCTCAGCGTAGTGCCGTATGATATATAATTCTACACATGTCCTCTAATCAATAAATTAGGTATATATGGGCTTTGCTCTAATCAGTCTGACTCTCTACATCTTCTTTTTTTTTTTTTTTTAATGTTTCCACAACGTGGATTAATCAATAATTGAAGAATAAATAAAATAATATAGGAATATCAATAAATAATTGTATACAAGTGACAAAACAAATTCATCATCAGCAGAGTATTTGTTCCATAATAGTCCATTTTTCCCTATAATAGTCGATTGGTATAGAGGACTTGCACGGGTCACGTGACTTTGTTAATGGACGGCAATAAAACAAAAACGCCCATTTTGCTCCTGTCAGTTGCAAGTCGGATTATACGTTTCCGTTTTGTTTGGCTGTTGAAAATGGTTATTTCGTATTGTTCCGTTGGCTGTACGTATAGTATAGACAACGAAATGGATCTTCAGTTATATTCCACTGATTTCAAAAGATCCGGAACGTCGCGCAATGTGGATATCATCTATTGCCTATTGGCAGAACTGCTTGGTGTCAAGTCCAGAAGCCATCTTACTTGTGTTTCACTGTTTGCGGACAGCACTTTGTTGATGGTGAGTGATAATGTGGTGATAGTGTGCCGTTATCAATTTTTTTTAAATATTTACAAGCTCCCTCATTTCAATGGAAAGCAGATGACAAACTACTGTTATTGGTAGGCCTAGGCGTAGGCCTACTTGCAGACTTGACTCGTGTAAGGTATTAATCAATAATTGCCATAAGGTATTGTTCCCTAGTTAGCACGTAATCTATTAGTAAGTGTGAAAAGTTGAATAGATAACTAAAG